CTGCCCTGCCCCTCCTACCATGCCCATGTACCACTGGGTCGCGGGTCTGCCCACCTGGCGGGTGTGGGTGGCAGCTCCGCTCCGCCCCCTCTCCAATTGGGGTCACGCGGTCACCACGCTGGCGAGCCGCTGGGCCTGCTCCGGGCGCTGGCGGCGGCCCAGCTCCTCCCCTCTGGCTCGAGGACAAATTGAGGAGACTCGGGTGACTGTGCCTCACCCCCCCCTACCAGGAGACCAACTGCTTATGTCGCCGCTGGTATTGATGAAGATCTCTCCTCCGCTGCTTTCTGCTGACATCAGATCTCTGCCATGTTGGTATCCTATGCGAATGGCAGCATTTCGTTCCCCTTGCCGGGCAACCAAAGCAACGGGTGAGTCCTGACCGGCCCTCAGCAGTTTCCGTGGGCTCCTAGCCCCGGTCCAGGGAAGTTCCGGGAGCCGGAACTCGGCCGCTCCGTGCTCGGTGTAAGCTCCTATAAGTGTAAGCTCCAAGAAGCAGTGCCTGCGGGCTCAGTTCCGGGAGCCGGAATTCGGCTGCTTAGTGCTTGGTGTATGCTCTGATAGTCTGTATTATTTTTTTAAAATATTTATTTTTTTAGTTGTACACAATACTTTTATTTATTTATTTATTTTTATGTGGTGCTGAGGATTGAACCCAGGGCATCACACATGCTAGGCAAGCATTCTACCACTGAGCCACAACCCCAGCCCTATTTGTATTCTTAATAGCTGCCATTCTGACTGGGGTGAGATGAAATATTAGAGTAGTTTTGATTTTCATTTCTCTAATTGCTAGAGATGTTGAACATTTTTCATATATTTGTTGATTGATTGTATATCTTCTTCTGAGAAATGTCTGTTCAGGTCCTTGACCCATTTATTGGTTGGGTTTTTTTTTTTTTTTGGTGCTTAGCTTTTTGAATTCTTCATATATCCTAGAGATTAATTAGGGCTCTATCTGATGTGTGAGGGGTAAAGATTTGCTCCCAATATGTAGGCTCTCTATTCACCTCACAGATTGTTTCTTTTGCTTTGACTTGTTTTTTTTTTGTTTTTTAGTTTGAGTCCATCCCATTTATTGATTCTTGATTTTAACTCTTGCACCATAGGAGTTTTATTAAGGAAGTTGGGGCCTAATTCCATATGATGGAGATTAGGGCCTACCTTTTCTTCTATTAGACATAGGGTCTGTGGTTTTATTCCTAAGTCCTTGATCCATTTTGAGTTGAGTTTTGTGCATGGTGAGAGACAGGGGTTTAATTTCATTTTGTTATATAGGGATTTCCAGTTTTCCCAGCACCATTTGTCGAAGAGGCTGTCTTTTCTCCAGTGCATGTTTTTGGCACCTTTGTCTAATATAAGATAATTGTTATTTTGTGGGTTAGTCTCTGTGTCCTCTATTCTGTACCACTGGTCAATATCATGCTGTTTTTGTTATTATTGCTCTGTAGTATAGTTTAAGGTCTGGTATAGTGATGCTACCTGCTTCACTCTTCCTGTTAAGGATAGCTTTAGCTATTCTGGGTCTCTTTATTTTTCCAGATGAATTTCATGATTGCCTCTTCTATTTATATGAGGAATGCCATTGGGATTTTGATTTGAATTGCATTAAATCTGTATACTGCTTTTGGTAGTATAGTCAATTTGATAATATTAATTCTGCCTATCCAAGAGCAAGATAGATCTTTCCATCTTCTAAGGTCTTCTTTAATTTCTTTCATTAGGGTTCTTTAGTTTTTGTTGTAGAGGTCTTTTACCTTTTTCATTAAGTTGATTCCCAAGTATTTTATTTTTTATTTTGTAAATGGGGTAGTTTTCCTTATTTCCTTTTCAGAGGATTCATCACTGATGTACAGAAATGCATTTGATTTATGAATGTTGGTTTTATATCCTGATACTTTGCTGAATTCATTTACTAGTTCTAGAAGTTTTCTGGTGGAATATTTTGGGTTTTCTAGGTATAGAATCATATTGTCAGCAAATAGTGCTAATTTGAGTTCTTTTTTACCTATCTGTACTCCTTTAATTTCTTTCATCTGTGTAATGGCTCTGGTCCGTGTTTCAGGAATTATGTTAAATAGAAGTGGTGAAAGAGGGCATCCCTGTCTTGTTCCAGTTTTTAGAGGGAACACTTTCAACTTTTCTCCAATTAGAATAATGTTGGCCTTGGGCTTAGCTTAGATAGCTTTTACAATATTGAGCTATGTTCCTATTATCTCTAGTTTTTCTAGTGTTTTGAGCATGCAGTTGTGCTGTATTTTGTCAAATGCTTTTTATGCATCTATTGAGATGATCATGTGATTCTTATCTTTCAGTCTATTGATGTGATGAATTACATTTATTGATGTCTGTATGTTGAACCAACCCTGCATCCCTGGGATGAACCCCACTTGATTGTGGTCCACTATATTTTTAATATGTTTTTGTATTTGATTTGCCAGAACTTTTTTGAGAAGTTTTGCATTTAAGTTCAACAGGGATTTTGGTCTGAAGTTTTCTTTTCTTTATGTGACTTTGTCCAGTTTTGCTCTCACAGTGATACTAGACTTATAGAATGAGTTTGGAAAGGTTCCCTCTTTTACTATTTCATGGAATAATTTGAGGAGTATTGGTATTAGTTCTTTGAAAATCTTGTAGAATGTGGTTGTGAATCAGTCTGTTCCTGGGCTTTTCTTGGTTGGTAGGCTTTTGATTGCATCCTCTATTTCATTGCTAGAATTGATCTGTTTAAATTGCATATATCCTCCTGATTCAGTTTGGGTAGATCATATGACTCTAGAAATTTGTTGATGTCTTCAAGATTTTCTATTTTATTGGAGTATAAGTTTTCCAAATAATTTTTATTTATTATCTTCTTTATTTCAGTAGTGTCAGTGTAATATTTCCTTTTTTATTATGAATTTAGTAATTTGAGTTTTTTCTCTCTTTCTCTTTATTAACATGGCTGATGGTTTATCAATTTTATTATTTTTTCATAGAACCAACTTTTTGTTTTGCCAATTTTTTGAATGGTTTCTTTTGTTTTAATTTTATTAATTTCAACTCTGTTTTTAAATATTGTCTCTATTCTAATATTTTTGGTGTTGATTTGTTCTTATTTTTTCCCTAGGGCTTTGAGATGTAATATTAGCTCATTCATTCATTGATTTTCTGTTCTTTTAATGAATGAGCTCAATGCAATGAACTTTCCTCTCAGTACTACCTTCATAGTGTCCCAAAGGTTTTGATATGTTGTATCAGTGTTCTCATTTACCTTTAAGTATTTTTTTTAAAATTTCATCTCCGATTTCTTCTGCTATCCATTCATCATTCAATAGCATATTTTTTTAGTCTCCTGGTGTTGAAGTAGCTTTAATTTTTAGTTTATCATTGAATTGTAATTTCATTCCATTATGATCTGATAAAATGCAGGGTAGTGTCTCTATTCTTTTGTATTTACTAAGAATTGCTTTGTGGAATAATATATGGTTTGTTGTAGAGAAGGATGCATGTGCTGATGAAAAAAAAGTGTATTCACGTGTTGATGGATGGAATATTCTATATATGTCTGTTAAGTCTAAATTATTGATTGAATTTTTAGTTCTATATCTTTACTTAGTTTTTGTTTGGAAGATCTATTAAGTGGTGGGAGAGGAAAGTTAAAGTCACCCAATATTATTGTTCTGTGATCTATTTGATTCTTCAAATTGTGAAGAATTTGTTTGATGTATGTAGATGCTCCGTTGTTTGGGCCATAGATATTTACAATTATTATGCCTTGTTGATGTATAGTTCCCTTCAGCAGTATGAAATGTCTTTCTTTGTCCCTTCTGATTAATTTTGGCTTGAAGTCCACTTATCTGATTTGAAGATGGAAATCCATCTTGTTTACGTGATTCACATGAGTGATATGGTTTTTCCCATCCTTCAGTCTGTGGTTGTTTTTCCTAGGAGGTGAGTCTCTTGCAGACAGAGTATTGTTGGGTCTTTATTTTTTTAATCCTATCTTCCAGTCTATGTCTTAATAACAGAAAATCAATGATTTTGATTTTCTTCTAATAAGTTTTTCTTCTAATTTTGAAAATTTCCCAGTATACAGGAAAATTTAAAGAGTAATCTAATGAACATCTCTTACCTATATTTTTGACATCTCCATCCCATTTTAGAGTATTCCTATAGATTTATGGATCCATTAGTTTCAACATGCTAGCATCTTTCTTTCTTTCTTTCTTTCTTTCTTTCTTTCTTTCTTTCTTTCTTTCTTTCTTTCTTTCTTTCTATGAGGATTGAACCCAGTGGCACTTAGCCACTGAGCCACATCTCCATTCTTTCTCATATTTTAATTTGAGACAGAGTCTGACTAAGATGCTTAGGGCCTTGCTAAGTTACTGAGGCTGACACTGAACTTGCAAATCCTCCTGTATCACTGGGATTACAGGTGTGCACCACTATGCCTGGCAGTGATCATCTTTTTTTTTTGTCTTAACTAACACTAATTTAGACAATGAGATATTTTCAATACAGCTTTGATACTATTTGATGATGATAACATCATTTGTTTTGGACAATTTAAGACTTCAATTATAGGAAAAATCTTTTTATTCTGATTATTAATAGGATATAGAAATCCAGACACAAATCTTACTAAATCATATTGTTCAGAACTTAATGTAATCTTCTTTTAAGATATTTCATCTGTAGTATAAAGTGATTTCAATGTATTATATAAAGACTTGGATTTCTCTTTTTCACATGGTGTTCTTTAACAGCTGAAGTGTTTTTATTGATATCTTTAATAACTTTTTGAAACTTCTCATTAATTGTATTTATTTATTTAGCTGTGTTCATGGTCAAACCCAGGACACTGTGCATCAAGGACAAGTGCTTGCCTAGCAAACAACCTCCCCAGACCTTCTCATCTGTTCTAAAAATTGCCTCTGCACCATTCAGTTGGAGTAATTTATATTTCTCAGATTGACAATGTGCAATATAACAATAATGAAAATCTACTTCTATGATAGGTTTTTGAATTTCAATTGACTCCAGAAGACATGAAAATCTTAGATGACCTCAATAGGAATGTTCGATACTACCCTGTTGTGGATGTGTAAGTAATTTTCATAAATATAGTGCCTCAATTTATTTCTGGGGATGAATATAACATCATTGTTGAAAGCTACCTCAATACATGGAGGACAGAGGCCAGTTTGAGTCAGGGATGAGACAGGAGCTTTTATGAGTTCTTGTCTCAGATTCTTGCCAGAGCTCTGTTCTGTGAGTGGAACCAGAGTCAGCATGGACTTCCACACATGCACCTGGGCACTTCTCATTCCATGGAATGATCCAGATAAACCAATATCATTGCTGAATGTACACCTGAAAGTAGGTCTCTCTATCCTATGAGTTTGTAGTGGATATACACTTTTGTTATCACCAATATAATGTTATTAAGTATTTTTAAAACAAGTTTTCTATATCTTCTCCCTTATCTCTTAATTTCTTATCAGGTTAAGGGCATCTCCATCAACCCTGTGGTTAGAAGCTCTCATCTCCTCCATATAAAATTGTTCATTAGATTCTTTCAATTTAATGACTTTGATAGTTTCAAGTCCCTCTCTTCCTTTTTGCTGCACATTTGCTCAGACACAGAAACTGCTTTTGTCTACAGAATAACTGTCATTAATGGATAAATAGAAACAGTGGGCTTTGATTTTCCTGAAATACAGAAATCTCAATGCAGAGGATAAAGAAGTGTTAGAGAATAGAGACTGAAACTGAAGGACAGCATGGGGTGAAGCCTTAGTAAAGGGAATATATAGCCAACAAATGATCTTTACCCTTCCTTCATACTCTGAGGTTACAAAATCTGAGAAAGAAAATATATTATGAAGGTAAGCAGGAGAACAGATTCCTCTTGCCTGTGAGAATTTAATTCATATTAGAAACAAATGTGATACTGTATGAAAGAGATTAGCATAATATAAAATTGTATGTGCTCAAAAATTTGTAGATATGTCATTACTAATATTTTTATTAGTACAGAGAAAGATGATGAGTTATGTAGAGATCAGAGATTGAGGGAGTGGCAAGCAATGAATAATTATTGCTACCTAAGCATTATAATAAATAATGATTTTTATATTTTATCTTCTTTGTAAAATTTACACTTCCCCAAATTATATGGTAAACTCTTAGGATTTGGAACTCTATGTTATAAATGAAATTCTTTTCATTTATGAATTTAACAGAACATGCTGAGTGTGATGGGCAATAAGTAAATAATTAATGAATTAGCACAATGGAAGTGAAGTTGCAGGCAGTAATTTACACAGCCTGAAATAATTTTCTCAGTGTTGACCAATGTCTGCACTTGTCCTTGTTCAGCAAGGAAGAATCAATTTTCTTTGAGAAAATTGAGAACTGGAAGTTTCATTGAGAACTGAAGGAAATAAGATGGGATGAGAAACTACTTTCCTGTTCTGACAGATGTGAATGGGGATAAAAATATGTTTAGATTTTTGCCTTGGTGTATTCTCTGTATTAAATTCCAGGTGAGAAAATAGAATTTGAACAATTTAATTATGATTTCCAGAAAATACTTAATATAATGTCATGCTCATGAAATTAAGAAAGGCATAGCTTATAACCTTGCTCTAAGGAAACAAAATTATCAAACATGACCTAATGGATGCTTTTGGAAATCTCTTTACCATTCTAGAAATGGAGTCACTGAGCTGATATTATGCACATTTTTTTTTCTCATTGTAGATTTTACGGACATCCCAATTATCCATATTTTGATGAATGTTGACATGGAGGCCTTTGTCATCACTTTGACTTTAACCCCTGCTAATCAATATTGATGTGGGAGACATCTCTGGTGGTTGGACACATCATTTCTAATCCATGCTGTTTGTCAAATTCACGTTCACTGGAACTCTGCTCACATATCAGGAAGAAAAGGGGCTAAATTTTTGTTGCCTTTAAAAAATAATATAAAGTTATTTTCCTATTTAATACTAAAACCTCATCCAGCAGCAAATCTAGGTGAAATGTGGAGAGAAAGGGGGCTGGAGGGAGAAGGAAATCCGAGCAATGCACATGTAATTAATGACTTAGCATAATTTGAATATGTAAACTTATATGGGGGTTGAAAGAATGGGAAGAGGAAATAATAGACACCTATGATGGAACTCTTGAAACTGGAGTCTGAATAGAGGCATGGGAAAGAAAGGAAAGAGTCACAGAATTACTTAGTGTGCAATGTGTTTTAAGTAGTTGTTTTAATCAGCATTTTTGTTTTTACTGTTCTAACCAAAAGACCTGACAGGAATAATTTTAAGGAGGAAGAGTTTATTTTGGGGGTTCATGGTTTCAGAGGTCTGGGTCCACAGACAGCTGGCTCTATTCCTTGGGAGTAAAGGTGAGGCAGAACATCATGGCGGAAAACTGCATAGAGGAAAGTGGCTCAGAACAGCATACTAGGAAGTAAAGAGAGGGAGAGAGACAGAGAAAATATATACCCCAAAGGCATGGCCTAATGACCCAACTCATCCAGCCATACCCACCTGCCTGCAGTTATCATCAGTTAATACCTATCAGGGGATTAATGCACTGATTAGGTTAAGGTGCTCACAATCCCATCATTTCACCTCTAAACTTTCTTGCATTGTTCACACATCAGCTTTTGGGGGATACCACATATCTAAACCATAATGGTAGTAAAAATGGGAGTGGTCACCAGAAGTGTGTCCTAGGCATGAGTACAATCCTGTGGGGGCTGAGAGGGACAACAGCCTTGAAAGAACAACATTTTTTATAGATGTAGTTTTCTCCTTCCTTTCTGAGATGAAAGTTTATAGATTCAAGTATCTAGGGCCTGTTGATACAATTATTTCTATCAGGATGATTAGGAAAATCAGGCCTGGCTGTCTCAGAATAATCACATAGCTAGTGTGATACACTAAATCATGGTCCTTAATTATCCCATGCCCAAATCCCTGGAACCTGAGGATATGTTACCTCTTAGTATGTTATTCTTCTGTGACTGCACAATTACCCCTGGATTATTTATCCATAAAAAACATCTGAAATACAAAAGATGTAAGGTAAAGTTTTGTAGGAAGAATGAAAGAATGAGTGACACAATCAACTAATATAAATGCTCTAATTTGCTTTAATGATTAGGAAATTAAACAAGTTAAATAGGTGCATATTTTTAGAACAAGCAAAGTATACTGGAATCATTGAATAAATAATTATGTTAATAAAAGAAAGACATACAATCTATATGGTGATGATGACTTTAAGTTTATAAATAAATAAAACACACACAACAACCCATACGTTTGCTTAGAAAAGTCATCAGAGAAAATGCACAATTGTTTTTTATTTTCTAAACTTTTGGAATTTGTGAGGATTATTTTCATTTTCAAAAAAACCAAACAACCTTATTGTAAAGCATTTGTTTTATTTTAATATGAGAAAAAGCAAGGAAAATAACCAGAAATAGTGGACCCTGCTTCCAAACCACCTCTACCAAATTCAGAAATCCTCGCCATCCTGCCTAAAAGGAGGAAACTCTGGTAACAATGTCAATATCTCAAGGTCAATATTCTTCAGAATATGAAAAATAAAGATAGGTGATGAATAGCACTGAAAGAGGAGAAGGGGTATTAATTACATCATACTCTGAACCCATAAAAGAGAGGGTTTATGGGATGATCCTCTTGGGATATATTAAAATCTCTGAATTTATACCCAAGTCCCTACTCTTAGCCCAGCATACATACACCCAAGCTCCCTCTTTATGCACAGACTGCACATTAATGCCCAGTTCCCACATCGCGTGGATATAAACTCCAAGGTGAGGTAGAGTTTGATGCAGACTGAATGTTCTAAGGGGAATGAGAAGTGTCACCAAAATGCTATGGTCAATGGAGCCTTAGGCACAGCTCTTATACTTAGTTCATGTGCCTAGTGTCAATGAGGACTGTGTGGCTCTTTCCCACAATTCACTCAGCAACATGCTGAGCACCCTATTTTTCTCTGCCTGTCCACAGTATTTTCTCCAAGGTTCAGCTGTGAAACCTCCAGCCTCCTGAGTTTACTGAGGAAATCACTGGCTCATACACGGGGCTTTGGCACAACCAGTGTGGGCTCTTACAGTTGGCAAGGATTCAAAGTTTCCCCAGTGTATTTCCCATTGGGTTGAACAACAAACAGATCTCAGAGATTTGAGGAATGTTTAGCCCTACAGGAGAGGGAGGAGAAGACGGGCATGGAGAAGGAGAGAAGGGTGGAAATAGAAAAGCAGGAATGAGAAGAGGGTGGAGAAAAAAAGAGAGTGCATCCTTTAGTCCTAAGAAATAGCCATTCATCTGCCTTAAGAAAATAATTACTTCTATTTTTGCTTCACTCATTTGCCCTAAAAGAGATTTGTCCATTTGCAGAGAACTGCAAATATGAGCTCAGCAAAATTATCAATAAATTTTTGATAATGATCTGTTAGCCAGGTGTAATGGTGTGTGCCTAGAATTGCAGCTAATCAGGAGGCTAGGACAGGAGAATTGGCAAGTTCAAGGCCAGTCTGGGCAATGTAGTGAGACTCAGTCACAAAATAAAATCCTTAAAAAGTGGGGAGGATACTGGAGATGCAAATATGTGGCAGAGTGCTCCTGGGTTTGATGCTCAATACTACCAATAAAATAAAATAAAAAAAGAAAGAAAAGAAAATTGTGTGCTGGCTTCAACATTTTTCCCTAGGAGATATACTGTTTTGAATTCTCTAGGATGAGTGTACCACATATACAAGAAAAAGCATACACTTGAACCTCACTGAGAAGGCTGTTAGGAATAGGGGTGCTGAGGGGTGACATGGGTCAAGGATTAGAACTGGAATGCTTTAGAAAACAGGGGAATTGGGGGAAGCAGAGAAAGGACTAATACCTTTCTGCAGGGGAGATGAAACACTGCTTTACCCTGGATGTAAAATTGGGCAAAAAATAAAACCAGAGGTGTTTAAGGGAATCCATGTGGAGTTTTAATTATGATATTTGATGGAATTCATAACCCATGGAATTTCAAGTCAAATCTAACTCCTATACTCTTGATTCATGGAATGAGTGATATCTAAGAAACTGCCCTGATGTGGCTTCTCCATGAGTGAGGTGAAAACTGGGTCCATTTTTAACATGACTTCTTTTTCTGTGTTATTATTTTTTTTTTAATGCTAGTTGGTACTGTATTAGCTCCTAGAATCCATTGGGCACATGCTCTGGGGAGGGGGTGACTCAGCAGATTTAACAGACTGTGCATGTTCCTGGACTGTGTCAATATACAAGGGTGGAGATTGTAAGAAGGAAATCATTAACTCTGAAAAATGTTTGATTAGATTATAGCAAGTTTAAATTGAAAAAAAAAAAAAACTATCTCAATGAGTTTAAACCTGAAAGAAATGTATCACTACCAAGACAAGAAGCCCAAAAGAAGGGGAAGCTCTAGATTCATCCACTGAGGGTCCAGATGTCCTCTCATCTTTTCCTGGGTCTTTCTTCTTCTTCTTCCTTTTTAAACTACTCTCACTCTCAGGCTGGGTAAGGACAACCTCAGCAATTTCCGACCCTACAATACAACACGATATATCAACTCCAAGAACAGGGGGCTATTTTTAAGAAAATTATTCTTCTTAGAATGAGAGAAAACTTCCCTAGACCCTCAGAACAAATAATTTCACATGGCATTGATTAGGAATAAGTCACAATTAAGTCCTCCCACAATGACCCCATGCCAAGAGCAATGGAATTAACCGAGTGACCTAACCAATCAAGTGGAGTACAATAGACAGTGGGGGGTGGGGGTGGAGAACCTTTCTTCATATGAGTTTCCAGAGTCACTGGGATTCCAGGCCTGTGCCACCATGCCTGGAATGTCACCTTTGGATGAAGTGGTACATGTAAATAAAAGTGAAAAGTTTGCTCTGGAGCAGACATATTGGTGCTATATGGTTGGTAAAAGGACAGGCCAAGAGGAGAAAGTGACAGGAAGCCACACCCAGTAGCAAATCCGTACAAGAGATGTTGAGAGAGGGGGTGGGCTTTAATCAATGTTCATGTAACTGATGATTCAATCTAATTTTAATATGGAAACTTCTATGTGGGACGAATGAATGGGAAGAGGAAACACAAGACACCTGTGATGGCCACACTTGATGAACAGGGACCTTGATGAGTGCTGGTTTGGGAGAAACCAGAGTCACAGGATTGCTTCACATACAACACGGTAAACTCACAATTTCCCAAATGAAGCCGTATAAATAATAAACATGGAAGAAGTCACTGTAAGTGTGTCCTAGTCATGAGTACAACCCCTTGGGAGGTGAGAGTCAGTAACCTGGACAGTGTGAGCTATCTGCATGAAGAAAGAAAGGTGATGTCAACGGAGCCTAGGTAGAAATTCAAACTGAGAGAAGAAAGGATTATAACAAGAAGTGGAAAATAAAATAGGGTCAAGGTGACACGTATTTTGAGGGAACATATGTTTATAGAGATGTGGTTTCCTTCTTCATATCTGAGATGAAAGTCTAGAGTTTCAAATATCTAGGGCCTGTTGATACAACTACTCCTATCAGAAAGACTGGGAAACTAAGGTGTGGATGCCCAGACTAAGCATATAGCCAGATAATAGGTTACATCATGGTCCCCAATTATTTCATTTGCAAATCCCTGGAACCTGAGACCATGTTACATGACATGGCATAAGAAACTTCTCAGAAGGGATTAATTTAGGGACTATGACAGCTAAGATTTTCCTGGATCCTCTGAGCAAACCGAATGTAATTATAGTCTTCTAAGAATTGAGACAAAGATGTCACAGGCAAGGAGGGAACCCTTCCAAACTCATTGTATGAATATAGCATCATCTGATTAAGAATCAGATGAAGATACATCAAAGAACAAAAATTTTGGACCAATATCCCTGATGAGCATAGATGCAAAAATTCTTAATAAAATACTGGAAAATTGCATATATAGAAGATAATGTAATGGGGTTCATTTCAGAGATACATGAATGGTTCAACATAAGGAAATCAAGAAATGTAATCCATCACATCAATAGAATTAAAGACAAGAATCACCTGATTGTCTCAATAATGCAGAAAAAGCACTTGACAAAATACATCATTTATTCATGCTCAAAACACTAGAAAAATTAAGGATAGCAGGAACATATCGCAACATTGTAAAATCTACATATGCTAAACCCAAGGCCTAAATCATTCTAAATGGAGAAAAATTGAATGTAGTCCCTCTAGAGACTGGGTCAAGACAGGGATGCTCTCTTTTACCACTCCTATTCAACATTGTCCTTGAAATTCTAGATAGAACAATTAGACAAAAGAAAGAAATTAAAGAGATACAAACAAGAAAAGCTCAAACTATCCCGTTTTGAAAATGATATGTTTCTATATTTAGAAGACGACCCCCCCCCAAATCTCTTCTAGAAAGCCTATAGAACTCAAAAAAAATTCAGCAAAGTAGCAGGATATAAAATTAATTCCCATATTCATTTGTGTTCCTATACACCAATGATGAACCAGTTCAAAAGAAATAAGGAAAACTCTTTGAATCACATTAACATCAAAAAATAAAATATTTGGGAATTATCTAACAAATGGGGTGAAATACCTCTACAATAAAAAAGTACAGAACACTAAAGAAAGAAATTGAAGAAAACTTTAGAAGATGGAAAGATCTCCCATGATCTTGGATAGGCAGAATTAAAATTGTCAAAATGGCCATATTACAGATATAATGTAATTTCTATTAAAATTCCAGTGATATTCTTCATTGAAGTAGAAAAATCAGTCATGAAATTCATTTGGGAAAATAAGAGGCCCAGAATAGCCAAAGCAATTCTTATCAAGAAAAGTGAAGCAGGAGGCATCACAATACCAGACTTTAAATTTTACTACAGAGTTGTAGTAACAAAAATGGCATGGTATTGGCACCAAAACATATATGAAGACCAATCATACAGAATAGAAGACTCAGAGACATACCCACATGAATTCAGTTATCTCATACTAGCAAAGGCACCATAAACATACAATGGAGAAAAGATAGCTTCTTAAACGAATGGTAATGGAAAAACTGGAAATTCATATGTTGGAGAATAAAAATGCACCCCAATCTCTCACCCTGCACAAAATTCAACTCAACGTGCATCAAGGACCTAGACATTAGACCAGAGGCCCTGCACCTACTAGAAGAAAAAGTAGATCCAAATCT